AAGGAATGTTTTTTCTTGGCTCCCACCCTGGCAATCAATACAGCTACATACATCTGAGCAAGAATGACAGTTGTTAAATACCTTCTTCTGAATCTCAAAAGGTTTCCTTGACACCTATTCCTTGCCCATACTTTTTCACTCCCAGTGGACAGGGACATTGTAATTTTCATAGAGGTATCAGATCATGGCCCTTGGCAAATCAACACGAATCAGTGGCCACACGACTCAAACGTGCTCTAAGAAATAGAATTTTAGCAACCTGAAACTCCAGTCTTAAAGCGCTGAATGAGGAAACCTGTTGCACCAGCATGTTGATTAAAGAGACCCATACTTTCACATTCATTTTCGAAAATGGTAAAGGAGGAGCGGTAAAACATTAGCTCTCCCACTTTTACCTTTTATATAGAAAAACAGGCACACTGGCCTTGCATTGTTAGTTTTACTAGAATATTTGCTGAACAACACAATGCATATGCATGCAGGTAAGCATAAACAAACACGCACACACAATACTGAACTTTGTGGTGGCAGCCAGACTGCAGTAACCCATGTCCCCTGGGCAGCAATCAGCTATGAAGGAACACGAAAAAGTTAGAGTAATGATTAACTAGCCCAGTGGGCTATTATTCATGACAAGTAGAGCAGCAGCAGTGCAGGCTGCGATGCCGGTCGCCTCTCCCTCTGGTATGCTGCTGAATGCCTGGAATTATACTCAGCACAGAAAAAACAGCAAATGTAATGTCAACATAAGAAAGAAGCTGAAATTCCATGCTTGGAGTTTGCACATAAGGAAGACGTGCAGGAGCAGAGATTTTCTGTTAGACTTGATATTGAAAGAATATGACAGATTCCAGTATTACCATTTATCAAATATGTATGCATAGGTTCTGGTAAGATTAAAAAGGCTATTGGTATCAGCTATTGTCAATTATTCCCTATACAGCAGCAAGAAAACACCTCCAAAGGCAACTGGCAAGTATCAATGTTGATAGCTGCTGCCATGGTGGACTGGAGCAGATGGTTAAAGTGCATTCATTTAGGTGAAGGACTAAACTACGAGTATCCCTATAGCCCATCAGGCAAAAATCCAAGTCATCATGGCTGTTCCTCTTCCTTTGGTGCTTTTACCCTGCTGTCACCAGCGAGCTCCAGAAATTCTTTCAAAATTCTTTCAAATCTTTCAAATTCATTTGAAGTAATGCATTAAAGGTGAACATACCGCAACACCCGCTGTATTTCTCTTGGAGCTACCTTAGTCAGCACTTCACAGAGAGGCAATACACTACTGCCTGAACTTCAGCTTGAAAAACCAAATTCCATCTGATTTTTTCAAGCTTTCAGTGATTTAACTCCATCAGCTGTGGCTGAAATTACAAGCAAAGATTCAGTTTTATTTTTATTTTCCAACGAAAGCATTTGCTGCTTATTTAGAAAGACCTTGAAAGAAACTATTTAGCAAAAAAAAAGCAAACTCTTTCTTTCAATGAACTCACTTTCCCTCTGAAATGCTTTGCTCTGTGTGTGGATTATTCATTTAATTTAATTATTTTGAAGTGCTTCTGTTTGAGTGGGTAGGAGTTAAGTATCCACAACACCAAAGTAGGGCCTAGAATTAGTTGTTGTAAACAAAATGTTCTGCAGTGGCCTAAATCTGCACAAGTAGTAAGCCTTCAGTATTTCGGAAGTCCTCTTCCACAAAGAGTCCTTCTGGGGACCCTGAAAGCTATGAGACCCAGGTCTATGAGCACGTGTTATGGGACTTATATTGTATAGGCAGGTCATATCTTTCTAATCATGAACACATAAATCCTTTTTGTTTTTTCCATTTTGTAGGAAAACAAAAATGCTGTTCTTACTTAACTGTGGAAAGCAAAATCCCACCTGGAAGACAGGTTGGTACCAACAACTGACCAGAATTTTTAATCTGTCATACAGGAAATGTATTAGAACACAATGACCAAGTGATAGAAGAGAATGCAGAGTAGAACAACATACACAGCTAGGCATGTAATCAAAACCAAATAACAATCTTTCATAATCTCCATAATCACAGCTTGCTCTCTCTCACACATATAACTCATGCACAGATACAGGAATACATAAGTTGTTACCCTTTGTTAAATGTTTTCAGCCTGTCGTTCTCATTGGCCAATCTGGCACAAACCATGACACAGCCCAGCTATCTTTCTGGTTAATAGGTACACACATTAAAACAGCAACAAGAAGAAAACAAGCCAAAAAAGCCTGAGGAAAACTTCAGATGGAAGTGTTTGGACAAAATTATGTGCACACATTCAAAGAAAGAGAGGAGGAACCAAATCTGGGGAAAATACACAGGATTATCATTTTATGGGCAGGGGGCACTGATTGAACAAGGATTCCAAAAATAAACACATCTAACATTTAAATCCCAAGCTGTGTTTTCAGTGACACCCCTTATCCCGTGACTGTATGTGCACTCAAAAACAAAACCCCAGCAGCTAAACATCCACAGCCTTGAGGAATTTAAGTTCTCAATCTCAAGAAAAGCTATTAACCAAACTTTCTGTTGTGTCTACAGGCTTCTACTAACACGTGCTGATTTATGGACACAAATGCAATAAAACTAAAACTAAAGAGAGATAAACCAGTTGAAATTAAGAGTTTGTATTATCAATTCCTTCACAGATATGAAGGTGAGATGTACGCATGTGGAAAAACAGAAGATATCTTCTCTGGTAAATCTCATTTCATAAATCTCCCCACTTTCAATTTGCATTCCTGTGCTTTGCACATACTTCCATATAAATTTATAGCTCCTCTGCACTGTTGCCCGTAGTTGCACCCAGTATTTACAGGTAAGCTTGCGACCCTGTTCCTCCAGGGAGGTAAGCAAGAAAGGAAGGAAAATAGTATGAAGAAAAGTAGGAAAAAATTTTGCACTTACTTGTCTGTAGTTGGTGTTTATATCTTAGGAATAGTTGCTTTAAAATGCAAGTTGTTGCTGAGGTTTGATTTAAAAACCTCTGTCAGTTTTGACATTCAGGTGAAAGTATTGCTGCTGGCTCCAGAACAATTTGCATATCTTATCACTAAATAAAATGTCTGAGGTGTGCACCAATCTGATGAAATTACAAACAAAAGTCCACACAAGCACACATGCCTTCCTGTTTGATTTCTGTCCTGTTCACTCCTCTACCATAAATCATATGATGGTCTCATTCTGGCTGGAGGTTTAACTTTGCATGTAAAAAGGAAAATGATAGCAGCCTATTCTGTTTCACACTTTACAGACGAGAACCTGAAAAAATTGTGGATTTGGGGAAAAAGCAGAAAATCTTATTTTGTTACTGTCTACCTCCTCTTTAATTGCCATAAAATTGATGGAAAATCCCATGCATTTATGTATTTTTAAAAATAATCTCCCGCACTGAAAATAAATAATTAAATGAAACTACACCTCTTTTACTACAAAGACTAATATACATGCTTAACTTTATGTCCTGCAATTAATCTCATCTACTTCAACAGGATTACTCATAATGCTGTAAGTGAAATACATGTGTAAATCCTTGCAGAATCATGGCCTGAATTGCCAACAACATTATATGGCACAATTAAATGCCTAGGCCTAGATGGCTCTTCAGAAAGATTAGGGAAAAAAAAACTTGGGGCATAATAAGTAACAAAATTTACTCTAGGGAGTTTCTATGGGAGAAACAGTACTGAGGGAGTCATCTTCCCTTGGGAAATCCACCTGTCACCAAACCCTTCCTATAATACACCTTTTTTTCTCTACCATTTATCACCTTCACTTACCACTCCTTTCTCACTCATCAAATACCATTCTCCCTCTCCACACATCCTGCTGTTGCTGCTATATGATGGAGGAGACAGGAGATGCATCTTACTGCTTATTCTTTTGTGCAGTGAAGTAGAATGAGAGCAGAGTCTAGCCCTTATATTAGCTAGCATAGTAATAAATAGCTCATGTGCTAATTAACAGAGCTGGGTGCACAACTAAACAATTTCACCGACTTTGCTTTTTAACCTGTTGCTAGACTGTTCACATGCTAGTGTCTCACTGAAAATTATTTGCCCAGTAAACTCTGTGGACAATCGTTAACCTATTACTGGAGTTCTTTACAAGAAGCTGCTCATCAAAATGTATAAAAATTGGACACCTAAATTGCCTAGCTCTGTCTCCTGGTGAGTAGCTTACCATCTGGTTTCTTCTGCAGATACCCACGAATGCTATGTCAGAAGCTACTCTCTGTACATTATCTAGTTTTTGACTAAAATCCACAGCTTCCACAAAGACTTCTGCTTGTAAATTAACTCAGTCAGAAATATTAACTAAAATGCCAGGAAAACAAAGTCAATCCCTTAAAAGTTCAAATGACTATTTGTCATAAACATTTCACCTCTACTAATGAACTGCAAAAATGAATGATAGAAAATGCAAAACTGTATTATGTTTAGCAGTTAACATTTTAATAAGGAGGAGATTAGCAATTTTTAATACCTCCAGTGCTTTGTTATATACAGTGGCACAATAACTGAATATTTTAATTGCTAATTATTTAGACCTCATTCAGTTCTCACTCAGGCAAAACTCCCATTGAGGGACTCTTGCCTGAGAAAAGAGCTACAGGATTTGTCTTACTGTAATTTGAAAAAACTTTACATATCATAAAAACTATCAAGTTATAGTGAGACAAAAATCATTAAATCCTTAGCAATATTAAACCCTACTGAAAGTCCCACTGACTCTTAACGCCAATGTTTTCATATTAAGTAAAATAGATAATTGCAGTTTACCAGTTGTAACTTACCTGTGTAATTTATGCCCAGATATGCTGGTGCTCTTAAAGAGGTCTAATAATGTTTTCAGTCTTCTTACCGTGTCCCTGCTTTTCTCCTGTGGGAAATCTCAGTTCGAATGTGATAAGGAAATAGCATTTCTAAACAATTACTATATCGACACCTTCAGAAACTCAAAAACTAGCATTTGGTTTTACCTTTAGACTTCGGACTCCAAAAGGGTTAAGAGCAGCTCTCAACACTTCTTCCTTATGCTGCTGTAAAGAAAAGAAATTCCTATGTTTAGGGATTTGCACACACAACACCTTGAGTTTTCATAACAATCAAATAGCTAGGCTTCAGGGGGAAAGTGGGTGGAATGTTGTATATTTAAAAACATATATATCTGAAGGAAGACAAAACAAAGTCTTACACATTCACATTTAGCACACAGGTGACAAACAAATAAGCTGAAGGTACTAGTATCCAAAATGACATGCTATACACATCCCCCAGAGAGAGAAGTTATACAACTCAACACCAAATTAATAGGGAGCGTTTCCTAAGACTCCATTTTCAAAAAATTTAAAAAATCTCATTTTTTACATTAAGTGTAGTTTCATTCCTGTTAGAGATACAAACAAATGGGTGTCACAACCGAAGTTTTGCCATTTATGTTTGCCATTCAAATGCATTTGTGGAAGAAGTTATAGCTAAGTACTCTTAACAGGTCAAGGGTTTGAAGAGTTTCTTTTATTATTTTTGTAATGAAAAATTGTGTATAAATCTTGGCATCTTTCACCTATAAATGGCTTTAATGACTAAAATATTCAGAAAACCTCTCTATAGACTGCATTAAAAAAAAAAAAAGATGTAAAAGCAGACTTAGTACCATATACCACTAATTACCAAAATGTTCAGAACTGACTGACAAACAGCTGAGGAAACAGTAAGTATTCTGAAGTCTGAACATAAGATTTGGGCTCTCTCCTTCCACCAATTCAGAATATGATTTAGGGACGTGAATGGCATAATTTCCAATTCTTGTTATAAGAGATTAATTTAGATTACAGTGCCCAAATCTACTGCAGCTACTTCTTGCTTCTTCACAGGAGCAGCAAGATCCCTTCACTCCCCTCAAGTGCTGACTTTCCACCTAAGAACCTATGTCCAAAGCTCAAGTGTGGCAGGACTGGCCTACCTAAGCGTACTGGTATTCTTTAATCCTTCACTGATGAGGGATTTTCAAAGCTAGCCACAAAGACGTTTTAGTCACTGAAATTACGGGCAAGAACAGATAATTTAACAGAAAAGAACTGTTCTTTGGAGCACCCTTATTTATTTAGAGAGGAAGGACAAAGTGTTGCTTTCTCAAATAAAGAAGATGTAAACCAGCAGGCTTTCAGGCTCAGCATTTCCAAGCCTGACATCCCAGCAGTTTCTGGCTACTGCAGGGTGCTTTGGTTGCTTTCTCAGACACTCTCACAATTTCTTTTCAGATCTGCAGCCTTCCTCTTGCTTTCTGAGTCCTTTTTACCTCTAATCATCACAAGCAAATGATGCCCCAGAGCCAGCATTTGTTGAAATTTCCCTATGGCAATTCCCCAGCCTACGTGGGTCAGTCCCGAGCGTATGCAGCAGAGTCTGTTTGAGGGCAGCTTTCCATTTTCAGGGAAGAAGGTGTATTTTCGTTGAACTAAGGCTTTGTAGCACTGCACTTCAGCTTTGGTAAGGTCTGCAGCTGCCTGACTAGACAAGCTGGACGGCAGCTCTTAGCACTTTCCAACCTCACACAACCACAGTCTGGAGCAGTCGGTCAGTTCTGTGCAGACAATGAACATAGTAAAACAGCAGGCCTAAAATACTGAGTAATGAGAATAGGATTTTGACCTTTAAATGCCGTTAGATGTATTGCATGAGGATATGTTTGATTTAAGTGATACTATTAGGTATGAAACTGTGCTGTTTGCCTAATGTCTAACTCATCTAGCAGCTGAACCACTCTGTACTTGCTGGCCCGCTATGTGCTGCAGCAGGAGATGGCTCTGCTGAGTGAGGCCAGTCAGAGACGGCGGCACTGGGGAACCTGGAGGAGATGAAAGGTGGGGAAAAAGCATGGGAAAAACTGATCACAAGGCAAAAGAGAATATTTTCTATTTTGAACCCACTGATCAGTCAGACCCCCAGCAGAGCTTAGACATTATCTGCTTGGGCTCTGCAAAGGCAAAATCATAGAATGATAGAATCATCTAGGTTGGAAGGGACCTTCCAGATCATCTAGTCCAACCATCAACCTAACTCTGACCCAAAAAAACTATCACTAAACCATGTCCCCCAGCACCATGTCAACCTGTCTTTTGAACACCTCCAAGGATGGTGCCTCAACCACTTCCTTGGGCAGCCCATTCCAATGCTTGATAACCCTTTCAGTGTAAAAATTTTTCCTAATATCCAACCTGAACCTCCCTTGGTGCAATTTGAGAACATAAAAAAATTCTCTGGTGTACTGGCATTTAAAATTTTGTACAACTACCCCTGATGTACACAGCTATCTTCGTGTCAGTTCTGAGTCCTGCCAGAAAGTGCGATACAAGAGTCTGCATAACTGTTAAAGTTTTCTTTATTTTCACAATCATGAATCGATCCTTTCTAAACATTTGAATGCTTGAGCTTAATGAGTGTCGACGTTTCTGCCACATAATTTTTAAAATTATTTTTATGTATGATCTAAATAGGTGGTTGGACTAAATGATCTTAAAGGTCCCATCCAACCTACACAATTCTATGATTCTATGATTCTATACTTGACATGGTCATTTGTCGGACCAAGATAGCCACTGGAGAGTACCATATCCAAAACTACAGGCCATTAATTTTGTTTTCAATTCCAATCTCCATGTTTACATTTATGGTTTTATTTGGATCAACAGCTTATTGGTGGTGATTCAAATTCTATCATATCAAGTAATAGTCTCTAAATTTGATGCATCCATGTGACACCAATGAAGTGAAAAAGTGTGTACGCAATTCAGGAAACCTGAATTTTGGTCCACTTGAAAGTAACCCCCATGTACTAAGCAAAGGTGAATACTTTGCAGCATAGGTTCACAATTGGTTTACTGGCTTCGAAGTCACAATCCTCCCAGAGGCTTGAGGTATATCATGGTAATTTCCTGGAAAAATGTGCTTCCAGAGATGAAGCAAATTAGGTACACTGATTAACTGCTTTTTAAAATATCTAACCAGAACAAGATCTACCACAAAAATAAGAAATATAGAAATGGATAACTTCAACAGTCCTAAATTAAAAATCCCTCTTTTGCTATGCCAGTTGCTTGTACAGTAACAACAGCATACTGTAGTACTGCTGCTCAATTGCAAACAAGAAAGAACTATACATACTTGTTCATGTCCTTATGTTAATGCCTTATAAGCTCTATGGCCTTCTGACATTTGCTGCTAATGAAAAAAAATGCTATTCAATGAGATATCATCAGATTAAGTGAAACTGAGATAAATACATTCTATTCAAGAATACGTAAAGAACATGTCAATTTTATTTACATTTTCTCTCAAGGTTATAGAGCTTTCACAGTGGAGGAGAAAATATTATAGGATGATAACTGTGAGGATCCTCTCTTTTTAAGACTCTATATTTAATGAACAAAATTCGAAGTAAGATAAATTATATTTGCATCACTCCAGTTCAATTCCTTCCAAACACAGTCATCATACATACAAACTAAACAGTGGTAGCAAGTGGATGAAAGGAATCACTGTTGATTAATACTAAGAATATAGGAGCCAAAAGGATTTCAGACAATGATTCACTGTGAGACTACCAGTAAATCTCTTGGTCTCTTTTGAGATTCAGTCAACCTGGCACAAACATTGGATAAAGCATGTCCTTAGCAAAATGGACAATGCATCACAGCAATGCTCTTTTTTTAAAAAATACTTCTGTGTGAATTTAATGCTTATGGAAAAGCCTAATCTGCCAGCCTTAGACCTTGAATTCCTCTTATTTCCAGAACAGTACTTTTAACAGATTGACTCACGCAGGCTCACTAGTACCCCTCAGCCTTGAGCTGAGGGCCCATGTGGAGTGGTCACGTTTTGTGGCTGGTCCAACCTCCTTCATTGGATTTACAACCAGAGACCAATTACTATTGACAGTAGTAACAGTTCTGGTGATATGGACTTCTATCCACTGAGAACTAGAGTTGAGATGTCTTTGAACTTGTACCACGTGACAAGCTTCTCTATCTGGGGGTGGTAGACAAGTAATAAATTAAATGACTAGCATTAAACTCTGTGATAAAGCCAGATTCTGGAGAATTTCTGAAGACAACTGCCCAAACCAGACCACTCATGTGGCCTGCAAGTATAAGATAATGAACTGGATATGAACTGGCTTTTTTTTTTTTGCAGGAAAAGAAGCTTTGTACGTGTACAGAAAAATTTTAAAGAAGCAACAGTGTTACAGTACCAGTCTTAAAGCATGAAAAACTCTTTCAGGAAACAATTTACATTCCCTGTGCACTTCTAAATTCCATCTGAAAAGGACGATCTGCCCATATTTATCTCCAGGGAAGGCTTGGATTAACTGTCTAGGCCCAGGACAAAATGACCTTTGAAGGCAACAGTCACATGGTGGAGAAAGGGGAATATTGTAACACTATCTACCAGGTTAACCTCCTCTTAACTTTATGTACCATAACTTCATTTAAATAGAAATCATCAGCTGGAACATGAGAAGCAAATGGCATTTTTAATATTTGAGGTACTAGCAACTAGCCTGTGTATTTCTTCAGAAGGAAATACCGATGCAGACAGTGAATTAAAACATGCCATGGTAACAGATGAAGACTTCAACTGTCAACAAAATCAGGCTATTAATTCTCACATAAACAGTCTTTTTAAATCTTTGATTTTTAATATACAGTCCAAAGATCACTCTCACATTTCAGCAGCTTTTGTCTTTTAATGCCAATCATTTCAACTGACTTTTCTCACTACTCTGTGCTTTCTCTCCCCTTTGGAAAAGGTGAGTGAAAATATCAAATGATATCTTACTTTGCCAAGACCAAAGGAACAGTTCAAACGTTCAAAAAAATTAGGCAATGACTTTGTTTGAGGCAGGGAGGGAACATGATTAGCAGTGGGGTGGATCACTGCCTGGCAGGGGAGGGGAGAAAACCAAACCCAAAACCAAACCCAAATCTCTTCTCATTCTCTGTTGCAATCCATGCTCAGGTCTAGGCTATGTAAACAGCAA